TGAACTAATACTTAGGTTTTATAATTTACATGGAAGTTAACCTGGATTTTAATTGAGGAATTATTTACTTATATTCTGTCAATTATCTGGATTTGTGTGTTGGATTACAATTGTTGAATTATTTTATTAAATTCTTTCAATTGTCTGGATGTTGTGGATTGTATGCACCGGTATGGGATGGTGGCATACTAGGGATGGTTTAGCTCAAAACGCTAGAACCTACTCTATTGGAATAAGGAAATGGATTGTAAAATATTGAATCCTAATTATATTTAAGTCAGATCGACTAAGTAAGTTGAGTGACTATCTGGATTAATTGTTGTTTGTGGTTAAGTCAGATCGACTGAGTAAATTGAATGACTAACTGGATTTATTATTATTTGTGGTCAAGTCAGATCGACTGAGTAAGTTGAATGACTACCTGGATTTATTGTTATTCGCGGTTAAGTCATATTTACTGAGTAAGTTGAGTGGCTAACCGGATTATAAGTCATATGTCAGATCAACAAAGAATTGAATGACATACTTTGGTTTTGGACAGACTTTAAATATATGATTATGGTACCGCGATATGAGCTTGAGTCTCAGGATCGTTGGTTAGGGAGCGTATATGCGTTGGGATGTGTAACTGGTTATGATGGTTGAGGTATACCATGTTAGGTCTAAGTACTTATGTCCACCTATGGGTGCGTTTTTGCATGTTGCCTTCTATTCAGGTTGAGACCCCTATTGTAGTCCAGTGAGAGTCATGTAGTGTGGATATATATATATATATATATACACATATATATATTTACGGACTATATAGATATGGTTGAGATATCTAGGATGTATCTGCATATCGGGTCTCTATTTGGATTGTAGTTATAATAGAATTTGTTCGTGGGCCTGACCCACTATTATTTTTTCAGGTATCGAACGGTTCCAGTTTTAGAGTTTATTCATGCTGAGCAGAGACGGTTCCATAAGCACTACAATGAGTGGCTAAATCCTTCCCTTGGGGTTAGAGATAGCCCCTAAGCCTGCTTCCTAAACCTAGCTTTTGTGTATTTTGGGGATTTTAGTTGTAATAGATGTTTTAATCATGAATAAATATAGATCTTGCAATTTTTACTTGATTTGTATGGATTAATGCTTTCAATTGATCATTTAGTTCTATCCATATGTCTATGTATGCTAGAATTAATGTTCATGTTTTTGTCTCTAGATTAAATGAAATTGATGCATGTCTAAGTGTGTTGATGTTGTTAATCTAGTGATGGTCAAGGCATAGTGCTTAATTGAACACTCTTGTGATTTATTTGATGATTAATACTTGTTTCTTGATGGATTGTGCCACAACTTTAGTTTAATTAGTTTAAGTTTCATGTCTCTACCTTAGTTGTAGTGTAATTGCTTTAATTTCTTAAGTATGTGGACAACCCATTCTTGTTGTTTGATATTCCATACTTATGAATGCAAAGAGTACATGTCTCTAGATATTTGTGTGTGCACTAATTGTGATTTAATTAAATGGTTAATGGTCTCATTTGATAGTTTGTACTACTCACTAGATTGATTAGACAATCTATGCTTATTTACCATCCATGCTTAGTTTTCAATTAGTGGCACACACACACAAATTACAACTTAAATTTCCCCATTAATTTACAATTGCTAGTATTTGGTGAAATGAAGCTTAGTGGTGAACTCTAAGCCTTAAGACCTCTTTCTTATATTTTTCCCTAATTTCTAGATTGTTTCTTACTTGCATCATTTTAATTGAAGCTTAGTTTAATTAACCAATCAAACCATCTTTTGATCATTCGACCTACTAATCCAATATTGATTTCTAAGCAAAAATACACTAATTTCCCTTAGGACGATCCTTACTTACTCTAGCTACATTAATAGTTAGTAGTAGTAGTGACATTCTATAAATTCAAACTTGGCCACACTACACACTTTCTTGCAACTAGGTATTGACCACACCAGCGCCATAGTGGATTGGAAAGTCTCAAGAGGGGTCTTGAGCTGAGGAGTAGGAGTTTCCGAATCTCGCTAAAATCGTCGTGTGAATATTTGCAAATCTTTCTTCCCTTATCTCCTTTACATTAATGCTATTAATTGTTTATGCCTATATATTGATTATTGCATAATTGTTGGAAGGTTTTAGTAAAATTTGCAAAATTAAAAATTGACTATTGTTTGCTATAGACTCTATTCACCCCCCTCTAGAGTCAATACTAAGGCAACATGACCTATTTAGGTTTCTAGCTTAGCAATGGATTAAGAATGGGAATGCAACAATTGGGTATTAGCTTCTAAGCTTCTAAAAGCCGACAAAAATTTTTCTTCAAAAACAGAACTCCTAGAAGGACCTTGAGAAAAAGATTGAGGGTTAGAACTTTGAGGACAAAAGTATTGATTCACATTTTGAGATGGATAAAATGGACGATACCCTTAAGAATTTTGACTTTGCAAATGAGGGGGAACATACTTAGCTTGGAAACGACTTTGATTTTGAGGAGGGTTCGCACTAAAAAGTTCGGGTGATTTCTCCAACCCGGATTGTATTGATTTGAAAATGGATTATTCCCTTGATTTATGAAAGCGGCATTAAATTGTTCATATTGCTCACGTTAAACATGTCCATGGGGACAATTGGAAGTATTGTGAAGCACACTAGAACATGCCATGCATGTCTTATTGGAATGATGATGGGGAGAGGAAGATGTTTGATTGGCCGAGTTGTGATTCATTAAAAATTGATCAAACCTTTGAGTCAAGGTTTTAACTTCGGCAACAATGTCATTGGAACTCTTAACTTGATACAAGTTAGAGTTCTTCTTCCCTCCTAAATTAGAATTTCGACTATTGCAAAAGGATTGCGATCTATGTATAGAATTCTCACTCATACTTCCAAATAATTGCCATATGTCATCCTCATGCTCGTCTAAGTATGAACCTCCCATTGAAGCATCTACCGTTCCCTTATGGGTTTCCGATAGGCTTTTATAGAAGTATTACACTAATTGCCATTTTGGAATGTCATGGTGTAGACACTTCCTACGCAAATCATTCAATCTCTCCCAAGCTTCATATAGAAACTCCCCATCCCCTTGTGAGAATTCACAAATTAAGGTTCGCATGGCATTAGTTCTAGAGGCGGGGTAATACTTGTTTAGAAACTCTTGTTACATCTCCACCCAAGATGTTATGGTAAGAGGCCTCAAATTGGCGAACCAATACTTGGCTTTATCTTTAAGAATGAATGGGAAGAGTTTTAATCTTAGAAACTACTCCGGTATGTCCGTGTATTTCACGGTAGAGCACACTTCAAGAAACTCATCCAAGTGTTTGTAGGGTTCCTAATTGCTTAACCAATAGAAATTCAAACACATTTGGATGGTTTGAGGTTTGATCTCATAATAGTGCGCTTAGAAATTAGGTAGTCGGATGTATGTGGTTGCATTATATTCATTCAACACATAATGGTCTTTAGGAACCATGGGAGCATTTGGGGCTTGTTGCACTACTTGAGCTCCAAGATTAACTTGACCTATGGGAGGTGGTGGCACAAAGAGTGGCTTTGGCATTCCAAGTGGAACTTAGACAATTGGTGATTGAGGAACAAGTGGTTGTCTAGGCATTCTTAAAAGAACGTGCATATTATCATGTTGTTGCACATTGGGTTGCTTAATGTTAGGGTGGTAGATTCCTTATTGGTTTACATGACTGAGATCCTCAACATGATCCTCCATTGATGTAATGGGGTAATCAAGAGTTGGAAAGATTGAACTAGAACTACCTCTACCCCTTGGATTACGTATAATGGATTCAAGATTAAGATTCAATGGAAGAATAGGACGATTAAGGGACCATCTACTATGCATGCACAAATCAAGTCAACACACCAACAAATATCACAAATATTAACACTTCTCCTCCATAACTACAATCAATTAACAATCAACCTCCATATACATTGTTCCCGTGCTCCCATGCTTTCAACATTTAAAATAAGTGGCCTCAACAAGGACCGAAATACAATTAAGTAAAAAAGTTCAAGATACGCTCACAAAAGTCCCAAGCAATAGTAGCAATTTAAAGATTCAATGCTTGCTGGTGGGTCATCGCGTGCACCAACGTTTAAGAATGCATTAAGAATGTAAGTGTGCAATGTGGCCAAGTTTTAAATTTATAAAAGCAACTACTACCTCTAACTAAAAATATAGCTAGGGTGAGTAGGAATCGTCCCAAGGGATTGTGGGCATGTTTGCAATGGAAACAATGTATAGGGTCAGTAGGTCAAGTGATCAAAAGATGATTTGTTTGGTTGATTAAATTAAACTACAATGCAATTTGAAATTAAAGCAAGTAAAATGTAACAATTTACAAAGTAGGGAAAAAGATATAAAGGAGAGGACTTGGGGTACTAGAGCTCACCAATAAGCTTGACTTTACTAGACACTAGTAATTGTATATCAATGGGGAAATTGAATTGTAACTTGTGTGTGTATGTGACATTAATTAAAACTAGGCATAGATGGCAAATAAGTATAGATTGTCTAGCCAATTCAAATGGAAAACACAACCTATCAAATGAGACTAAAATCCATTCATTGAAACCACGATTTATGCACACACACTACAACATATTAGGCTTTTACCAACGCCCTTTAGAAGAATGCTGGTATAGGTGAACTAATACCAGTGCTCTTCTTAGGAGCGCTGGTATAGATATAATCATACCAGCGCTTTACCAAAAAGCGCTGGTAAAGGGGTAATCATACCAGCGCTCTTTTTAGGAGCACTGGTATAGGTGTAATCATACCAGTGCTTTGGTATAGGGGTAATCGTACCAGCGTTTTTCTCTAAAGCGGTAGTATAGGGGGTAGTAGTTATACCAACGCTTTAAAAAAAAGCATTGGTAATAGCCCTTCCATTCCCTACCTTTTTTCCCCTTCCCTCCAATTTTTTATCTTTTCCCTCCACTTTTTTCCCTTCCCACCACTTTTTCCCTCTGCTATAGAATATTTGGGGCCTTTTACTACGTCGTGTTTTTTGGGGCCATTAACACTGTGTTCACTTTCCCATTTCATTTTGCAAGCCCTAACGCTCTCTCCCCTTCCATCGCCGGTCTCGCCCGATCTTGTAATCCATTTTGTTTTCCATCACAGCTCTCTCTCCTTCCATCACCGGTCATTACAGCTCTCTCCCCTTCCATCAGTCAGTGTTCCAAAACCCGAATTTTAATCAGAGACCAACGCTCTAAAACTGGTGGCTTGGTTTAGAGAGACAAAGTCATTGCTACTGCACACATAGAGAGAGAAAGAGTCATTGTTGGGGGTTTCCAAAACCTTGTCTACACTTTTTTAGGTTAGTAACTGTTTGCCATCTGATTTTGATTACCTGTGTAGATCATTGTACCTAAGATTGTTGTTATTCTGGTGATAATATTGAGTAAATTTAGGGTTTTATGTGGATTTGTTATTTAAAGTGTTTTAGTTTTCAGATTGCATTGGTAAATTTTACGCTAGATTTAAGGGTTACATGTGTTTAGCGCACTTTCAATGGCGTAATTATCTCTCTATACACACACAGATCAGGTTTTTCCTTTTACTTTTCCCCTTATTTGTTACGAATTTCGTTTGAATCTGTTTGGCAAAAATTTAATCTATTTGCTTGAAATCTGTTGAACTTGTAAGGGGATATTAAATTTAATCTATTTTCATATATTATTTTGTGTCTGGCGTATAAATTCTTTTGGCAGTTGAAATTATTGTTTTAGTTTAAACTTTTAATTATTCTTATTTTTATTTTTGCGGTTTTAATTCATAATTGCTGTTTTACAGGAGTGGTTCAGTTTTTTGAATATCTTGCAACGGAGCATCTTCCTCGCTTTGCCTATTCTCTGTCTTTAATCTCTCAGCTTTCTTCAAGCAGACTCTTCCTTCGCATCTTCAAGAGCACAAGTCAGGTATGAAAGTCATTTTTCTGCATCTTGCCTTGGAAACTTTTGGTCATGAAGGCCCCTGCAACATCAATAAATGGAATTTTGGTATCCTACGACAACCGTTGAACATCAAATGTGTTCCCAAACTCCATAATGTCAGGCCTTAGAGTTGTCTAAATTGTTGTCTGATAAAATAGTGTTTGACTATATATAATATGCAAAACATTTTTTATAAAAAAATATTTTAAAAAACTATCTTCTTTTTTCTTTTGTGTTACAAACAAATCTAAAAGAAAATGTCACATTAAAATAACTTTTTGTGTAGAGCAATTTCAAACAAATAAATAGTCATTTGTACGCTGGTTTTAAAAAAAAAAAATTTGTATGTGAATTTCCTGTATCAACTTTTTTGTATGCTAGTTAAAAAAAAAAATATTCAGACCAACAGTTGGCTAACGCTCCTTCTGTTCATGAGTATTTGCTCCACTCATGAATCATGGCAAGGTTGTTGTACGACTGCAATTTACACCCTAACCTAGACTTGTGCTAATGAAAACTTAGAAACATAAATTAATCTTTCAACAGGATCATTGCCAATGTTAGAAGTAATATGGTAACAAACTGTTATGTCTCTTTCAAATTTACCTCTTGAGTTACATTTTATATAATCGACTTCTATTTTGTAGAAGTCTGTTTCAGATTGGTTTGCAATGGAGGCATTGTTATGCTTTCATGACGCCTAAAATACATCACTAATGTCTTGTAATGGCTTTTTGTTGTGGCAGGTATGATCGAGCGAGGGGAGTTGAAAAAGAAAATAAGGACGCAAAGCTTGAATACCTGGAAGAAGCATTCACAACATCCAATTGGATAGTTCAGATTTACAAAGTCAAACCACTAAATAATAGGTGGTGATTAACATAACCCCTCCTCCCTTTTATGTAGGACAGAAGGAACATGGTTGATGAATTTTGAGAGCTTCTTTAGTCTAAGAACTATTTAGAGATATACACATTTTGCCATTGAGTTTGTGTTTTTAACATTCGAGGCTTATATTTATTTGCTGGAATCTTTTATGTTGAAAATTTTATATTGCCTCCTTGCCTAATATTTATCAAGTCTTTTGATCAAGTAAATGCCCAGATCCTTGACTGCTTGGGACGATGTAAATGACTGGCTTAGTAGATCATAAAGTCAAGATTGGGCACTGGACCATTTCCTCTATGAAGGAGAGCTTCTTAAGATGAAACTAGATAACTATTCTCATAAACAAATGAATCTGTGTTAGGTCTTCATGATTTTCCTTGTTATGTATTGGGTGTCTCAATTTTAGTTTTCATTTACTTATTTTTCTGCTTAAGTTTTTATTTTTCTTTTTTGTTCTTGATGCTTTTGCTCTATTTTTTTTTTTTTTTTTAAATCTGATTTATATAACATATATGCAATTTCAGGGGCTGGATTTCAATTCAAAACAAGTATTTGTTTGGGAAAGTAAACATTCAGATCAAGTTTGTAGAGGGTGACTCTGCAGGGACTGTCACTGCTTTCTATGTGAGTTTCAATTTTCAACTAATATTTTTCTTGAATAATATTATATTTATACACACAAATACACGAACTAGGTTTAATGCAATTATAGTTTTGGTACATTATGTCATTCAATACATTTATTTAAGTGTTTAGTTGCAGAAAATAGAAAACTTGACATCGTTTAAATTCAAGAACTGGGGTAGTCTTAGCTAGTTGTTCCTTTCAGCTCGTGAATTGGATCAAATTCCATTTATTTTTCACATTTAATGCCTACCCACCTAGTATTTTGTCCATGAACCATTCATTTCCTCCAAAAAAAAAAAAAAAAAAAAAAAAAGATGGTGGCCAGTTTTGCTTTACTCTTTTATTTCATTGGGTCAAATCTATTTCTTATAAAATTAGAAGATTATCACTCTCTAATTTGCTTTATGTTGATTGGTAATTAACTGTGACATTGATGATGATGATGACCAATTTCGCTTTACTCTTTTTTGAGCTGTTGATGTTGATATTTTGTTTTTGGTTTTGATGTGTGCAGATGTCATCAGACGGCTCAAATCACAACGAGTTCGATTTTGGCTCCCTATTTTGTTTGTGGCTTCAATATTTTCGTTCAAGAATATTGCAATATCTCAATTAGTTGATAGAGCAATTTATAGTAGTGATAAAATAATTATGATGATTTCAGCAACTTTTTATTAAATGGCGTTTTTGATCTCTCTCTCTCTCTCCTCTTGTTTGAATTGGATTCTTTGTAGGGCTCTGCAAATCATCTAATGCCAAGGACTGACTCTTGATTACTTCAGGACAACTTCATTTACATCCCCATCTACCTGGACTTTAATGTGTTTTAAGGACATAATGTGTTTTAAGTACTATTTCTTTGATTCGTTGCATGTATTTTGTTTGTATTTTGTTCACAAATATTAGAAAAAAGAAAGTTTGAAGTTTGATGAGTTCTTTTGAAGAAACTTGTGGTTGTGTTCTTTAATTCATTGCATGTATTTTGTTTGTATTTTGGTTTCCACAGAACAAGGGTTATGACCATAAAAGAGATCCATGTGCAGTTTTCAATGTGTTGGATTCAATGCTGAAGGGTAGCTTGGAGCGATTGAAAACAATGAGGTTAGCTTTTGTCTATGTTGTTTTGGCTGGTTTGGATGGTAGATTAGTGCAGCTTTCTTGTAATTATTTATTGGAGTTGCCGAGTTGTTATGGAACCAACCAGATAGCTGTAACAATCCTTCTTGTTTTGAAAGTGAAGTTGAAAAAATGTTACTTAACTACTTTACATCTTCCCTGCTTATTATTTTAGTACTTCCTTTTTTAGTTTTTAGTTTCAAATTGCTGCTGAGTCTAAAAGCTCCAATTAATTCTTGTAATTTCTCAAATTGGTGAAAGTAGAAACTCTGTTTACAAGTAGTTGTGGAATCATAGCCATAGACTTCAATGACCTTTGAGAAATAGTGTTATCTCAAAATAACCTCAAATTCCTTATGAAGTAAGCTGTAAAAGTGCAAAACAAAAAATAACATTTATATGCTTTTTGTGGCATTATCTCATCCTCTATCTCCATATATATTTTCTCTTGATGACCGTTGTAAACATTTGCCAGACAAAGAGAGAACTGAAATCAAGGAGCAACTTGATCCGAGGGCCAGGTTTGTGCTGTGCTGCTTAAGTTTGATTATTTCATAAAATAATACGAGTTTTCAAGATGAGGTTGCTTTTGCCATTTGGGTGTGTCAATCAATTATTTAATATCCTGAAGATTTTTCTTTCTTAGTATCCTTGAGGTATGATTATTAGTTTTTTCTATTTTTATTTTTATGATTATCAAGATGGACTTACTTTTCCCATGGATAAAAAAATCCTTAAATTGTCTTTAGATTTCTTACCATTCTCGTCTAAAAATTAAAGCTGGTGTACTCCAATATTCCAATAGTTCATACATCAGAAGAAATATCCCGAATTTCTTGGGAAAAGTTCATATATTTAATTTCATAAAGTTCTCATTTTCTCAACAAAATTCAAAAGGATCGTGATTTTCCTTACACAGGTATTTTTATTTGCAAGATGATATTACTTCAAAATTAATTTTCACCCATTTTTTCTACCTTTAAAATGTTTTTTAATGCCAAAATCTGTCTGGTGGATATTTTTTACTTCATATTCTTCTCACTACATTCCTGAATCGTGCCCAACCACCATACTTTCATTCTATTAATATAAAATAATATACTAACCAGTAAGTACTAGATTATTCTTTAAGAATATCTAATCCTAATCCAATCTATACATACAACAACCATAAATGATATTTTAATCATCTAACAAATAACAATCTAATTACGCTTTGGCAAATCAACCATGCCATTATAAATACTTTCATTTATATATTGGCAACTCAACCATGCCTCCTTAAGTATTTTTATTTATACATTGGCAATTCAACCATGCCTCCACAGGTATATTTATTCATACATTTAATTAGCAACTCATCCATACTTTCCATATATGTATTTTATTCATACAAATATTCAGGTAATATATTTAATCCTTTGGCAAATCATCCATGCCTACACTTTAATCATGAATTAACTTTAAACTTAACAATACGCTAAATCACACATAGTCATCTCATGCATATTATACGCATATCATTAATTTAATAACCAGTCCATCTAGATATATTAAGTAAGAATAATAACACTAATGATCTGAATTGACATATATATACACATATATTATATAATATATATGTGTATAATCCTTCTTTAATAATCCTTAATTATTTAAAATCACATATACATATATATCAATAATTATATATATATATATATGTACCACTATCAATACAACTCATAAATTAAATAAACCATATATACACATATATAAATAAATAAATAAATATATATATATATATATATATATATATTATAAAACCAATTATTAATTTACTATATTACACAAATTAATGCTACTAAATATGTCAGAGATAGTTTCCCCTAAATACTCCATATCGGTTTAAATAGTTTTCCGACACTGTCTCACTAAAATGTAAATATCTTCTAGTAAGATGGGAATCTGATAATGAAATTGGTACTATTGGAAAGACGACGAAAAATTCTTGAATTTGAGCTCAAGAATGACCCAATTTCGATTTAAGATGACTAAGTTATGACCGTTTTAATTTTATGTTACAAACAGGAAAAATAATTAGCTGAGCTCAAACACTACTGTGAGCGCACCCACACTAGATTAGCTCACTTGAATGCACCCACACCAGATTAGCTCACTTGAGCTCACATGTATGCACCCACACCAAATTAATCTTCTGTTGACCAAACCTAATCCATGATCCAGATTCACATACACACTCTTTTGTGTACACCGCAATGCACATAATCATTCCACTTATGTCTAAACTATTCCAATGGCCCAGATTAGTGGTTTAACCTCTTACCATGCACCGTCCTACACCAGATTACTACCCTATTGTTGCGCCCACTTTACCGACGTCGCCTCCAGTGTTGTGTGTGTATATATATATATATATATATATAATATAAACTATCTATATAATTTTTCCAAATTAAGATAGAAAATAATTCTAGAATAATTCCAAAAAATATATAAAATACATTCTAAATTTAATCTAAAAATTCCAGAAAATTACAGAAAATTCCCATAAATTCTAGAAACACTAATTAACCCTCTTGGGTCTAGATTCAGCCTATCGATTAATGTAAACAAAATATGCAACATATATATAAAACAATAAAAATCTAAAATTCTAAAAATAAAATATAATAATTCATATTTTAAAGATTCCGTACTAACCATCATTTAATCAATAAATTTAATCTTAAATTTTGATACTTAAGGAGAAATCCTTATGAGTTCTAAGAGGAAATTTAGAGAAGAACTCGCCTGAAGGTTTCAAAACGAAACCGAAGGTTCAAGCCTTGATTGCATCTTCCAAATCCGATGTCCTCTTTCTCTAATCCGGCCTCCTCTTTATCAACCTTCTCCTTCTCTCCCTCTCTCTTATTTTTCTAACGTGTAAAACTTTTAACCCTAAAGTCTTATGCGTATATTTATACACATTAGAATCCAAATCCTATTCCAACTAGGACTTTCAAATAAAATAATAATTCTTAAATAATATATATCTATAAACATATATTATATTACAGATATATATATATACCTTTCATAATTAACCCATGGGTTAATTAAATCATATAGACCTATATATATCCATAAATAAATAAATAAATAAATATATATATATATATATATATATATATATATATCTTTCCATAACAATTATTAATTAATTATATTTATATATAATTATATATATTTATAATTAATACAAAAATAATCATTTAAATAATTAAATAACCATGGGCCTTTATTAATTAACCCAATAAGGCTTCATTCAAGCCCAAGACCATATCTTTTGGTTCAACTTTCCTTAAGCCCAAATCCAATTCATTTAAATAAACCAAATAATTAAATAAACACTTAAATTAAAAAACTAATTACACTAAACACATACACAAAACAATAAATTACAACCAAATCATATTATACCAATAAAATCAACACGTCAATAATTCAATCAATAATTAAGCACACACACAACAATTATCATATCAATAATTCATGAAATATAAATAAAATAAAATAATTAATCTAAGCACTCAATAAAACAAATCAATTAAAAATTAAAATAAACGCAATTAATTCAAATTGAATCAAATAAATTATTTAAAAATAAAATAAAAATAATTAATTTCAATTAATAAATCCTTTAAAATATTGGGGTATTACATTCTTCCCCCCTAACAAAAGGAATTCTGTCCTCGGAATTCACGAATCCATGAAATGAAAACTTTGATTATTTAATTTCAAATTTCATTATTCCTTTTATCTGTGTAGAAATTAACCCATCCTCACATACTCATAATTAGCAGACACATCTCGTAATTAGCTAATTCCATATTTATATAATTGATAAATATAAGTACACACTAGAGACTCTCACTGGACTAAAGCAGTCTTAACCGGATAGTGGGTATCTTATGTAAAATGCACACAAAGGTGGTCACGAGTCCTCCTTCTACCATGGCCCACACATCCTTAAATCCAGCTACCCATCTCAATCAGCAATATACGCCTCCATCCTAACCACTGATCCTGAGACTCAAGCTCATATCGTGACACACACACACACACACACACACACACACACACACATATATATATAATCCATTATATCCAAACATAAAAGTAAATTATCCAACCATATTATTTCAATGGCATGCCATCCAACTATTCCGTTGACCTGACACGAATAAGTAGGACTTAACTCTATGGTTAATCCGTTCCCTTATAAATATATAGGTAGGACTTAACTTCTTTGGTTAATCCGTCCCTGAAATGCCACCGTCCCATACCGGTGCATTAAACCATACAATCTATAAATAAATAGGTAGGACTTAACTATTCCGTTAATCCGTCCCTAAAATACCTCCATATTATTTTAATGGTGCATAAATCCATAAAACCCATACTTCATGAAATATATATAATTATACATCAAATAATCCAGAAGTAATTATAATAAAAATTCAATAAATACATAATTATATTATATGCCAATACATGATTAAAATCACATAAATAGACATTGAAATTGCTAGAATAATATTAAGCAAATAAATTATTTATTCACAACATGTAAGTTAATTAAAATTCCATATGGTTCAAGTCCTTAGCATATTAATGAATATTATCATTCTGAGATTTTAACCAATCTATTTCAATTATTTAAATCACCTAATTTGATCTAAATAATTTTGAAACACCCCAATCCTCAAAACAGAACTTAAAAACCAATTCTGCAACTACATTCATCCTCCCTGAACAATACTGAGTGTAGAAGTAATAACTTCCCACAATTCAGTTATCTACTCTATCTTGCACATGTGTTTACTATATGAACGTAAACTATCGACCTTCGTAGTCTATGTCATTAAATCAGTTTCCATGATAAAAGATCGTCTCCCTACATACTAATTTAGCATACAATCCTAGCACTTACGCTCTTGCCTTCTCAAATACCTTCCAAATCGATGTCCTACCATTTGTTGACAAGACTAAACGATTGAACTTTAGGACGCACTAATGAACTGAATATAGAATATAATGAATCCTAAACTTAAACTCTAAGTAAAAGAATACACAACGCGAAAGTCACACAACAAAAGACACCCAAGGGACACTTGTGATATAGATATGTTGTATATTTTAAGTAGTGTTTGAGCTCAGCCGTTGTATGGATAGTGGTACATATATCAATAATTATATATATATATATATATATATATATATATAATTATTGATATATATGTATATATGATTTTAAATAATTAAGGATTATTAAGGAAAGATTATACACATATATATTATATAATATATGTGTATATATATGTAAATTCAGATCATTAGTGTTATTATTTTTACTTAATATATTTGGATGGACTGGTTATGAAATTAATAATATGCGTATAATATGCATGAGATGGCTATGTATGATTTAGCGTATTGTTAAGTTTAAAGTTAATTCATGGTTAAAGTGTAGGCATGG